TCCAGTGATCACAACTGACATATTCATGTTAGGAAAGAGTGCAAGAATTTTCCGCGCAAGATTCCTTTAAATGCGGCGAATGACCTGCGTTCTTTACGAGCTAACTTACTCTTGGTCCTGAAGATTAGTTGTACCAGATTTCAGGCAAAATTGTCGAGCTTTGAATACAACCCAGCCCCTACTCTTTAACCTAGCTCCACCAACTATAAACATAAGGTACAAAATGGTAAAAGTAAGACAAAAGTAAGTAGCGACGTAAGTAGGTAGGTTGTTGGATGCTTCTCGAGCTCAGGGACAAGAAATTTCTTCTAAGAGTTGGTTGAAGTTAATGAACGGAGGTTTTAGGTCGCGCGCATTTTTTAGAGTTTCAAGTAATACCTTCGTAGGATTCAGCTGTGAGTGATAGGAACATCGATTTTTTGTATCCTGACCATTTTCCCCCTCCTCTTCTGTTCCCTAGGAGACTGTACAGCACTCACAGATTCCATTCAACAAAATTTTGGGCCCTTCTGAAAATTGTTTTCAAGTTGATGAAGTATCTCTTCCACTAACTCTGGCGGCAAAAACGCTTCTCATTCCAGGAAACCAAAATTCTTCATCGAGATGTGAAGATGTGCACGAGACTCATTCTCGGGCATGCATTCAATTCATAACTCTATGCACTTGCGTCTTTTCAAACCATCGTTTTTATTGCAAACGTATATATCTCGCTGTGTGTCGATGAGAAATTCTTCCTCATTCCAAGCTTGGTACATAACTTTCATCACGTCCGTCTTCTGCTCTCCTTACAATTTTCAACGAATTTTTCAAAAACGTCTTCACAAAACAGCTTCTTAGCGTACTTCTATCACATTCAGAGCTATTCTAGCACAACTAAAGGCCTCTTTCAATCTTTCTCGAGCTGCACCTTTATATTTTGAGGGAAGAGCCATTTCCTCAGGCCTTCCTCAGACCTGTATCACCTGTATCAGACTCGTCCTCGCAAACTTCGCCATTGACGCAAGTCGACTTTGAACCATCCATTCCGGTCCTGTGCATGTCGTCTCCATTGTTGGCCGAGCATTTTCACCATCGGATCGGCCCACCCCATTTTATTCCTTCAGGCGCATAGTTGGAACGAAGCCAAGAAAGCTTTTTTTTGTGGCCGCCGTAGAGTACCATAAAGAGTGCCGCTAATTACTCTGACCGTTTTTTGACTTACCCCTTCATGACTGTTAAATTCAGCTGGGTGCAGGAGATGTCCCGGTCGACAAACAACGACCACTGCTGATTCCGCTCACAGATGCGCTACAGATGCCATCTGGTCGCGTCACTGTTTGAGACGGAGAGGTGTATAACAAGCAAAGGACCACAGGTTTATTGTTAGCAGGCATCTACCATAGACTTTGTTATCAAATGCCCACAGGTAAACTGCAGCAATTCTGGCCGCTAGTATCGGTGCCAACGCCCAGTAGCATTTGTTCCTTATCCTTGAAGACGAAGTCCGGGTTCAGCCTCACTGAAAAAAGCTGCTCTCATGGGCAGAGGTGTGTAGTTCGCCACTGCAGAGGTCGCGCCATCTTTGCACATCGAATGCCATTGACTCTTTTCAGTGAAAAACGCGTAACCAACGCGGAGCTGGGCGCCAAGGACCTTGATCAAATCCCACCCAACTATCAGGACCCGCCCACTTTTTGGGGCCTTGTTTTGTGTCTCGATGTTGGCCTGCTATGCTCTCTCTACTCGAGAATTCTCTCAATCTTCATTACTCTCAACCATTATCTCTCATCTCCTGCCTGCCTCTCAGACTTTCCACAGCGTAAAGCAAGATGTCTGCGTAGTTCTAATGAATTTCCACAATTTATTCTTTCTTTCTTCTAACTTCCAGTCCCCCCCCCCCTCCTCACTACTTTCCATACTTTTGGTTCGGATTACCACATCAGTTAATCTAATTCTTCGCCTTCCAAGACTGTGGCTAATGAGATAAACCCCAGCTCCAAGAGATTCTGAACATCGCGCATACCTCAGAAGTGTAACATGTTTCGCTACTGGTGGGTGTGTCAGACTTAGCGACATGATCACAATCAACAGTCGCGGAGGGGGCGGCGCGCTGTTTCTGACGCGACCCTAGAATCGCGCCCGGCTGACTTATTGAGCGGCGCCCTATTCACATCCATTTGCAATTGTGATCGGTTTCAATTCTGTCACCTTTCTAAAAGTTTTATAGTAGACCACAGGGAAATATTGATGATATCGAATAGAAGGTCTAAGAAACGCGTTCAGGGAGATCTCGGGAACCTTTGGGAACTCTTCTCTTACAATATTCATATTTTACAATCCATAACCACAAGAGGAGGTGCAATGATAAGGGTGCAACCTGCAATGTGCAATAAGGTGTTCTTACTTGGGGCGAGGCAATAGCGCAAAACCTTGGGCTGCTGGAGGATCTCCAGATTTAAGATGGCGTAAAGCTTGTAAACGATAACACATCCAAATTGGATGCTAACCGGATGCGTGCCTAGGTTAAAAAATGGTGACCCGGAATTTGGTTGGGGAAAATGATCTTCGATACCCGCATCAACTATGAGTATGTCTCGGGGAGAAAATTCTTTTGGAAATTAGGTTTGATTGTCCGACAACATTTTTTATATACGCTGTTTATTTCAGGTTAAAGAGCAAATACGAAGGGTGCCTCTTCCACAGAAATTTCTAAATTATGATAGCTTTATCAAAGCGCACTGTAAAGCTATAGGAGAACTTATTGATCAGGTAGGTTCCAGATTCAAAACAAATACTTCCACTGCGCGCTGCTTTACCTGCAAAACCGTTGAAAAATCCCTCCGACTTAACTGTTTACTAAAGATGATGAAGAATAACATCAAAGCACCAACCCTAGATAAAATTTTTGTGGGGTAACCGTGTTCAAATGAAATTGCGGATGTTCGAGCTGACCGAACGTGAAAAGAGAAACAAAGCAAACCGCCGAGAGAGAACTTAAACAAAGGCTTCCACTCTTTCCCCTTGGAACACAGAAAGGGGCGGTCTGGGCGAGTTGTCTGATCTTGCTTGTTTCTTGTCTCCACTAACCCGCGCTATTTGAACTAGCCGCTACGTCACGTTGCGTGACATGGGGTGTGTGCGCGAGGTATCTCGTCCATTAGCTCAATCCAGCCGTCATTAGTTCACTTTGTAAAGGCCCTAGCGCCACTTTCGCGCACTTTCAAGTCCGCGACAGCGGCACATTTGTGGTACTCGCGAGCTACTCTATCTCTACCCATAGAAAAGATTGTTCGGCAGGACCTCATCTGGGATTGTTGCTTTAAGTTGATTTGTTCCAGCTATCTGAGAAGTTTATTTAATATATCTGAAAGGACTTTGTTCGTTTTGCTACAAACATAGGCTTCCTAATATTATTGGACCAATTTTCATATTGTTCCCCTCTTATTTTTTCTGAAGAATTCTCTTTACAGGTAGTTGATAACCTTGACAGATTTGTGACACAATATGGCCAATGAGCTGATTCGTGTCGGTCAAGTACATGCGAAACTACTACGCGGTGAACTTACTGGTAAGCAAGAATCTTGCCGTTTACTTTTGAGCCTTCAACTTGTAATGGCGGGGGGGGGGGGGGGGAATATGTAGGTCAGGAGATTCCAACTGCGGCACTGTGGTGACGACGGAAGTCACACGCGGTATTTACGTCACACTCGAAAATGAAATGAAGCCGTCACACGACCACTTTGACGGTTACCCAAACACCGGTGTGCTCTTGGAGGACAAAAGTCTTAGTACCCATAGCCTCACAATTGGTGTTCTCCATGGATGATACAAAAACGGTGAGAGTGGAGTTGGGGGGGGGGTTATTGTGGCGCGTGGGTTCTCCATCTTAAAGTTTAGAGGAGATTATCATTCAGCTCAGCAGACGCGCAGAAAACGCAGGAGTACCTCCTCCCCAAACTTCATTTCCACTAAGACAACAATCCGGAAGGGAAGGGGTAAATTCTGCCCAGGAGTATGTTCGCTAGCACTAAATGTGGTTTTCTCCTGAGATTGAAGTGCTGAGTGAACAAGTGAAAGCTCAAAGGCTTTTGGTCTAACTCCAGAAGCTTCTATCACTACACGCAAAGCCCTTGGCATCCATAGCTCGAAAATTGAAAATCAAAATCAAAGTGTTCAGGCAAGTTATGGAACGTGGTAGCAGAGACGTTCATCGACTGCACGTTGGAATGGGGAGATCGGCGATGTCGGTCGGAGACCGTACGCAAGGCGTGGGCTCTGATTGTGGCATTTGTGATCGAGAAAGATTATACGCTACTACGGCGTCCCTCAAGACAGGTAATCAAAACACTTCAAAAATACAATTCGACGGCAGTTATTCTCCGGAACAGATCAACGATTTTATTTGAACCCATGAGCAGCTCTGGCTCGAGACCGTCATTTAGAATAGACGCAAAAGAACACATCGCTTTTTGCGCCAAACATCCAGAAACTCGGGAGGTCTTGTTTACGTGTTCAATTTCCAGCGGTCTCTTTCAGCCAAAGTGTCGATTGCGGGGAAGTTTTCTTCCTCCGGTTTGCTTCACTAAGACTCTTTTGGCCTCTCCACCCGCCAATGACATATCTCTTGTTCCACTGCTAGCAGCAGGGTCAACCGTCCCTTGGGCAAAGTCCAACGCGACGCCAACGAGAGTAATGCCGAGAGTGAACGTACGCACGGAGACACAGACGGCTCGCGGGTGGCGAGAGTGAATGCCGTTGGCGCGACGGCAGAGAGGGTGAACAGCCCCCCCCCTCGGTCCCACACGTCGCTCCACATCTCGGTCCACGTAACGGTTGCCTGCTGCAATGCATTTATGACCGTCGTTTGTTCTCTGGTCACCTGGAACCCTTTACTCTACGCCAGCATGCAAAACTCAATTTTTGACCCCGGTTGCGTCGCGTGAGAGGTAGAGAGAAAAGCTCACCGCGGCGCGACCGCCGGGCGCCCGGTGCCAGTTTACCGGTTGACAATCATCTCGCAGCTCTGGCAGATGTGAAGGAAGGGCGAGCAGTGGCCAGGGCCGCTACCAATTTGCAGAATAAAGCTGGGTTACTTCGGGAATATCAAGCACTTGAGCCGCAAGCAAATTGATAGTGTTACGTTTAGGTTCCAATCTTTCCTAGAAGTGGAATTCTTGCTAAAAATTCATTTGAAAAACCCCTAAGGTAAGAGCATGTCAATAGCTTCCCTTGTCGACCTCCCCTTCGAGCCGCGTAAGAATGTTACACCTGTTACAGCCATTCTGACAATCTTATCCACCAAAAGGATTGGTACACTTGAACTCATTAGTATGCTTTCAAACTTTTTCCATGGTAAGCTTTAGCTCAGTTAATGGGTACCCGACAGGAGGCCCGTCACGCGCGCAAGAAGGCAGAGTCAGCAGACGAGCTGCAGCGCGTGCTATGCGATGTAGCACGGTACGGACTACTTGATTTTTCCTCAATGGTCCTGCCGCGATGGCTAGAGCACAGACGATTAGAGAACGGGTGAATGCCCTAGGACTAAGCCTTGGAGAGGGACCCGCGAGAGAGCGCAGAGGCGGTTTAAAGGGCTGAGTTCAAGTAGTCCGTCGACCATGTAGCACAAACAATGGTACATTATTTTTAAGTTGGCGCAAAATCACTACAGTACGCACCGTGACTCACCCGCCAACTCAGTCATTCACGCGCGAGTGGCCCCCTTTCGGGTACCTCTCAGATAACAAAGCCACACCCTCCCGGCCAGTGCATTTCTAGCTACTCATTGGCATGTACCATGATGATAGCTGAAGAATTGATGGCTACTGTAAGGGTTATAGACTGTGATGTGTCGGTATTGCGCTTGAATACGAATCATTTGCAGAGAAAGAAGATGTTGGCTACTCGTCAGTCGCTGCCAGCCATCCAAGTGCCGTTTCAGTCGATGAAGATTTGAACAGCTGATTCAGTTTAGTGACAGCATTCGTACGTCACGGGATCCACAGACATTTCATGTTTGTTTTCCAATTGAATGGGTTACGATTCTGTTTAGCATTCGCTTGTTTTCTCTTGTCTCGTCTTTACACAGCAATATCAAAACGCGGGTCTTCGTTGAGGATGTGCAGGCGATGGCCTCACATCCATCTACTATGTGGTCTTTAGTGTAGGTAGCTAGTCTGGATGGATTCTGATCTCGTGCAGATCGAACGTTGATTGAATCGCCCGTTCACGAGCTTTTTGAGGTCCTTCATCTAAAGTACTTTACATTACATAATTCGGAGTATATGTTAAAATAAATTTGTTTGATGTACAGAAAACGTTTTGTTGTGTGGAGTGGTTTTGTATTTTGAATTCCCTGCGCAACAGTTGTAAGAGACTGAACAGAAACGAGCTGTCCTACCGTACAATTATTCAGTTAAAGGAATCTTGCGCGGAAAAATCATGATTCTATTTCAGCCATAAATCACTGGCTTGAGACTCATTATCCACGATAATAGTGAAAAGAACTGAAGTATTGCTTTCGTTTTGATTAGAAATTCGAAAACTCGAAAAGGCTGCTACGCGTTCGAATTGCCCACGGACGTCTTTCACGAATGCTGGCGACGGGGATGCTCAAACTTGGTTCTTGGAGTGCATTCACTAGAAGCTCTTTCTGGCCTTCTGTTGCATTCACATCTTACACTTCTACTCCATCCTATTCCATCGATCGATTTGTCTCCACTCGGCCTCCACGAAATCGCGCGCTTTTATCCCCGAAGTCGTATGCAACAAGCCCCGACGGTCGTCGGGGACATATCCCCGAAGTCGTATGCAACAAGCCCCGACGATCGTCGGGGACATATCCCCGAAGTCGTATGCAACAAGCCCCGACGATCGTCGGGGACATATCCCCGAAGTCGTATGCAACAAGCCCCGACGATCGTCGGGGACATATCCCCGAAGTCGTATGCAACAAGCCCCGACGATCGTCGGGGACATATCCCCGAAGTCGTATGCAACAAGCCCCGACGATCGTCGGGGACATATCCCCGAAGTCGTATGCAACAAGCCCCGACGATCGTCGGGGACATATCCCCGAAGTCGTATGCAACAAGCCCCGACGATCGTCGGGGACATATCCCCGAAGTCGTATGCAACAAGCCCCGACGATCGTCGGGGACATATCCCCGAAGTCGTATA